CTAACATTTTATAATGTAATTTTTCCTCATATTGATATGCAAAAAATAACAATTTATAGTAGTTTTCATATAGTTTTTGAATATCTACATTTCTTGTTTAAAATATCGACTCAACTTTGAAAATTACTCAAAATGACTTTCAAAAAGCGCAACATAACAATTAAAAGTGGACGGAGGGAGCATACAATTTATTACTTTTTTAATTCTTTCTTTAAAAAAAATCATATTTATCTCTTCTTTTTACTATCATGATTTATAATTATTGATGAAACTTTTCCTTAATTGTTTTTTTATCTATAAATTTTGTAAGAATAAAATAAAAATACATCTCAAATATTTCATTTATCTCTCGTCGTATCCTTATTACAATATATTATTTTTTATATATTTTATCATCGTTACTATAATTTATTATTTTTTCTTGAATTCATCTTTCTTTCTTCTATCTCTAAACTTTTCTTAAATTTTTTATATTCATTTCTCTTCTTTATTATCATAAAATTATTATTTACGAAATTTCTCTTTTTTTAATTCTTGTTCTTTTGATCTGTAAAATTTGTACAACAAATATGTCTTTGACCAAGAATTATAATTATTTTTTTTCTCGTTTTCTTTGACAGTTTAGAATTTTTCACTTATTTATATTTAAAATTCTGTGAAAATTAGAAAAAAGAAATAAAAAACAAAGATTATAAATTAGAGGAATTAAATAGAAAAAGTATAATACAAGTGGTGTTATTTGGCATGTCAATAGAGACTAGAGTCACGTTGGTTGAGTATTGTATTCGTTGAAGTGTCGGTTGGGTGGGGGAAGTAAATAAAAGGGTGGAAGAGAGAAAAGTAAAAGCATACCTTCGTTGAATCTTGACCTTGGGATCCATTTACTTACTTTTATTCTTCGTCTTCTTCATTCATTCTGTTCTCTCTTCTGTGTTCTGTAGCCATGTGTGTGATTTCAGAAGAAGCCATCGCTCAGTTTGAAGCTTTAATGGAACAAGGTACACATGTATATATGTTCATATATATGAACTTCATCATCATTTTAATTTGCTGTGCTATGCTAATTGCTAACCCCATTAATTTTCTGAGCAGTTGATGAAGCACTCAAAACTACTTTTCAGGTTCTCTCTCTAATTTTCTTTCTCTTATTAATTCACTTCATCATATTTCTAATTTTGACTTGTATTTCATGAGTTGACCCAGTTTCTGTATTACTCACAAATTAATTTATGCCAGTGTCCACTACTTTGCAGAATATTCATCAAGGATGTACAAGGGACGCATATCTGCGGTTCCTAACAGCAAGAGAGGGAAATGTTGCAAATGCCCATAAAATGGTCAAACATCTATATTTAAGATTTTAACTTTTTAGCCAGCTGATAGATACTGTCTATTAAAAGATCTCCTCCTTTTTTTTCCCAAATGTTTCAGTTGGTTGATTCTTTGACTTGGAGGGTCGAAAATGAGATAGATGATATTTTAGCGGTGAGTATTATGGAACCTTGTTATAGCAACAATCAGTTTTAGTGGTTTCTCTCTATATCAAGTGTAGTCTTTACTTTACGCGTAACACTCTGGCTATGATAAATGTTGTTTCGCAAGATTTTTTCCTCGCAATCCTGACAAGACTTCAGGTGTGGGTTTTATGATGGTATAGTATAGACCAGTAGAAATCTGATAGACCCTCGGCTCACACAATTAATTGTATTTTATCCTAGTATATTCTTACTATAGTTGAAATTGAATGTATCTTGGCTACTTTGCAAATTACTATCTAATGTTGATTCGTTGTAATTGTTATCTCAGAAACCTATCATTCCTACTGAGCTTTACAGAGCAATTCGTGATTCTCAACTAATAGGAATGCCAGGTTACACCAAAGAGGTACCTATTCATGAAATAATGTCGTGACACACATTATAGCTATCTTTTTCTATTGATGCTCCTATGGACTTAATATAACTTTTTGAGAACTCCATTTCCCTCTTTTTCAGGGCCTTCCAATATTCGCTTTTGGTGCAGGACTCAGCACATATGATAAAGCATCTGTAAGGGTCGTTAGGATTCGTATCTTCTCTCAAGGCTATAATATTTCATGTGCATTTACTTATTCAAGAACTTGTTGTCAAGTAATGGATATTTGATTTGTGGATAATAATGGAGGTCTACTGCTTGGATTAGTTTCAGAGGCAAAAAACAAGAATTCCATCCATATCAAGACTGATGCTATTTATTGTCAAGTCCAATTGCAACACTTTTTTGCGAACAGTTTGCATATATATAGATATTAAATTGCTAAACCTGTTATCATTTTTCCTTATTTGCTTTATCCTAGGAGGGAGGTTTGGTGTTTGAACTCTTCCGTTTTCCATGTTTTAATTATTGCTTTCATTATTTTGACTATTGTTCTGCTAATATAAATAGTAACTTGAGTTCTTTATATCAGGTCCATTATTATGTGCAGTCACACATTCAGATTAATGAATATCGCGATCGTGTGGTTCTGGTAAAAAGGATTCATAAATCACTTTCCTTTGTGTATGTGTGTGCGCGCTTTAATCCCTTACATTTTACTAAGTTGATACATGTGTCACAGCCTGCTGCAAGTAAGAAGAATGGGAAACATATCAGCAAATCTCTGAAGGTTTTAGATATGACCGGCTTGAAACTTTCAGCTCTAAACCAAATAAAGGTATATTCCCTCAAATGTTCTATTCTCGTTTAGTTATGTTCTTTCAAAATATGATGTAATGGACTATGGTCCAGCTCAATCCCATAAGCTAGCTAATGAGGGGAGGCTTACCCAAGATCATATTAGGAGAACACAACCCATTCCCTCATTCACACACGCTTAGGACTGGAAAACTAGAGTGTGGATGATATAGTATGAGAGCACAATATTGAGAAACACAACAACAGGGATCGACGAGTCTGGCTTTGATAGCATGTCAAGAAATGGTCTTTTGGCCTAATTCAATCCCACAAGTTAGCTAATGAGGGGAGGATTACCCCATACCGTACAAGGAGACCACAACCCATTTCATCAACCAATATGGGAGTTAACACAGTATTGTTTGATTTGTTAAATTGGGGAAGATTTCGATGGTTGCTGATTGTTGATGTAGAATCCCTCACTTTTATGTAGTTTTTTTTCCTTTCAACTTTCGCCTAGCGCAAAGAACAAAGATATTTCTTTTGCAGAAGAATTTGTAATTGCAAGACTTCTGTCTATGTTTAACCATATAGACTGATGTATATCTTTATTTAAGTACCTTGGAACTGTTCTTGTAGATATAGACTAACTGAATGTTATTGCTATCATTCAGCTATTGACTATAATTTCCTCCATCGATGACCTTAATTACCCGGAGAAGGTAGTTGCATACTACATTGTGAACGCTCCCTATATCTTTTCAGCTTGTTGGAAGGTTTGTCTCTTATTTAAACAATACAATTCTCTTTCCTTTTCCTTTTTGTTACTGTTTTATCAATTATTTCAATTTTCTAATTTGTTGTAACATATGAATTCATTAGGTAGTCAAACCTCTTCTGCAGGAGAGAACTCGAAAAAAGGTTCAAGTTTTATCAGGGTGTGGACAGGATGATCTATTGAAGGTAGCAGTTCTTTTACAATTGTTTTGTTGTCATTTTCTTTATCTTCTATGAGGATGTAGTAATAACTTTCTGATTATAAAAACGGGTGGAGAACTAAAAAAGAGGACTATAATTTGGGCTTCCATGTTACTAGAAAATATTATGCCCATCCAAACACTGGTTTAGAGAAACAAGCGATGCTTGTAACTTGTAACTAGTAGGAATAATGCTGCCTCTGGCACCTGTCAAATAATTACCTCTATGGTAACTGCCTGATAGTCTGGCATAACCACTTGGATAAACAACTTCTGGTATCACTGATCTGTTGGGACTACAACAACAACAACAACAACATACCCAGTTAAATTCCACAAGTGGAGTCTGGGGAGTGGGGAGGGGAGGGTAGAATGTATGCAGACCTTACCACTACACTACCTTGTGAAGGAATAATATTGTGTTATTCGTTTACAGAGTTGTTGAGAGATCTAACCCTGTCTGGTCTGTTAACTTGTGTAGATCATGGACTATTCGTCACTGCCCCATTTTTGCCGGAGAGAAGGTTCTGGATCTTCCAGATACTCAGGCAGCTCAAATGAAAATTGTTATTCCTTGGATCATCCATTCCACCAGCAACTTTATGATTACATAAAGCAGCAGGCGTTGCTTCGCCGACCTGTTCGGCCAGTTAAACAGGGCTCTGTCCATGTGGATTTTCCTGATGCTGTCACTGAGGGGACTGAGTTTGTTCAGACGTTGGCATCAGAATTTCAAAAGTTTGGAAAGCAAAATGGGCTTGCTCAATCACTAGATGACCTTAATATCAATGATCATCGAGCATAGATAATAAGAATTTGGGTCATTATGCACTCTACCTGCTGACAATTCTGGATGCTCATGCAAGTATAGTAGTATTAATATCTCGAGCAGTATAGCAGAGGTTTTCTCCTAATTAGAAGCCTCACTCAAATTTTATATGTTATAGTTGCACGAGGGGCATTTTCAATATACCAAGTATGTATAGGGGAAATGCGGTTGACATTTATTATTTTTATGTTAGATGTACATAGAGGCATATGTTGCTTGAGCTCTTACTAGTCATCACATGTATTAATAATACAAATTATCCATCACTGATGCTGACCCTTTTATGTATTGACACTATGATATAAATAATGTCCAGCACAATCCTGAAAGCTGGTTTGAGGAGATGTGTTTTTTTGATAATATGCAGCAGTTTGTCTTTTCTGGGCATTATACTAATTATTGGAACAAAAAAGTGTTTTAAAGACATTTTATACATAGTGCAAACAAATTGGTGAAATTAACAGAAATGCAGGCAGCGTAAAACGGAAAAAGATAGAACAAATTTCCCGTATGGGAGAGCAGGAAGTTTGATTATTTTTTTTTAAAATCTTCCTTTGCTCTTAGAAGATTCTCCAGCTTCGTTTTCTTGATGATTTCTTCCGCAATTGGCCCTCAACGGCCTTTTTGGCTGCCTCAGCCATCTCTGTCGTCTTCAAAGCTTCCTTGATTGCAACTTCCATGTCCTGCTTCTCTTTTAGACCTGCCTCCACCTTCATGAGAAGTTCCTTTTCATTGGCAGTGATGTCTTCTACTTGAGCCATGGCAGCGGCAACTTTTGTGTCAGCCTCATTTCTGATTTCTTCGACTTTTTTGCTGAAAGCTTCGTATTTCTCAACTGCTAATTTGATCTTTCCGTCCTCTGTTAGGTGAATCTGATCACTTACGAGTGTCTCTGCAACTTTCGCCTCTTCAGCCTCTCTTAGTGCAAGTTTCAGTCTTTTCTCTGCTTCGTTGGCTGCAACTTGAGCTGTGACAGCTTCTTGTCTGATTGATTCCACCTTCTTCTTCATCTCCTCTGCCTCCTTTAGAAACTGAACAGCTTCACAAGTAAACTGTTGGATTGCATCTCCCTTTGGCTTGCTGTTATCAAGACTTACTCGCAAGTTCTCAGCAAGGGCTTCTGCTTCATCTGCCTTAACTTTAAATTGAGAGTTATGGCCCTTCAAGGTATCTAATTCTGCTTGAAGGGAATCCACCAGGCTTCTTAACGACCTTTCTTCTGCGACAATATCTTGAAATGTGTTTTTAGTAAGATGAAGCTGTGAAGTTGTTTTGGTAAAAGAATCCAGATCTGAGGCACGGACATTGTTAAGTTGTTCTTGTAAGACTTGAATCCCCTTATTAGTTTCCTGTAGATGAGAGTGGAATATGGCTTCTTCCTTAGCTTTTCTAAGAGATTGCATGGAATCTGCAATAGTAACTTGTAGTTGTGTGGCTCGTGCATTCGCAGCTTGGGTTTCCTGAAGAGCTGCTTTCTTTGATTTGTATAATGTTTGGAGCTGGCTTGTGAGCTCCTGCAAAGTAGTCTTGGCATTTTGGAGCTCGCGGAGAGCATGGCCTTTTGTAGTCTCAGTGCTTCTTATCTGTTGTTTGAAGCTGTCAACTTCTCTCAGGGCCAAGTTAAGCTGACTCTCCTTCTCCTGCACCCTCTACAAATTACATACAGTATCTCTCTCTATATATATATATATATATATATATATATACTACAGTAATATTAATCAAGTCAAAATGAATACCTCTTCAGCAGTTTTTGATTTCTTAAATGTGCTGATAGGCTTATTAGTAGCCTTTTTTGGGGAGCAACCAGAAGTGCCAGTTTCGCCAAACAAAGTAACAGCAGCTTTGACAGATTGAAAAGGTGATCTGGTGTCAATCTCTCCCACCTCATGACGACTTGTAGGAGAACCACCTATGCTTCGAGTTACTATTATTCGTGGAGAACCTGATGGACTACTCGTTGGAGAAGATGTGTATCTTGGAGAACCCCCATTTTGCCTACGGTTTCTCAACATTCTTCTGCCTGCCTGCCTGCTGAATCCTACATCACAATGCCATCTTATGTTACTTTCTAGTTTTACAATTCATTATCACCTACAATTACATTTTAAAATGCATTCTCTAATTAATTCATTATGATTTACATCAGCTCAATGTCATGCCTTAGGTCCCAAAATCTAAGGGCCTAATTTTTTTAGTAATAATAAAATTATTGCAAGCCTTTTTTAACAAATAAAATATTTTAATTTATTTGTCTTTTTTTTTTTTCAGTTTGTTTCGAAACATTAAAGAATGTTTTTTTTATGAAACAATTTTTAAATTTAACTACCACATAATATTTTTAAGACCACAAGATCAATATATATATCTTTAGTTTAAGACCATTAACAATATTTTTTTATTATTAAAAATAATGAAATAACTATGAATCTTTAGATACATAAAAAAATATATATTAAAATTTAGGCCTCCAATTTAATTTTTGGGCTTTAGGCCACTAATTAGCTTGGGCTGCCACTGATTTACACCTATATATTGAAATACCCAATCACATGAAAATATTGGAATAATTATAACCAATATACATATTGCCTATCTTTGAGATTATGAGAAAATAATTACTCCATATTTTTACAGGTAAAAATGAAGGTACCTCTAACTAGTACGTACCTGACAAATTAGCGAATAGCTTGCCTTGTTCGAAGTCAGGATCCAACAGATAGCGCTTATAGCTAGTTAATTAATGTTTTATCATATGTATTTCAATGATATAGATCAATATGTCTTTGTGTTTGTTACTTAAGGTAAAAGTATATGTATGTTGTAAAAACTCAAAGCTGCATCTTCTTTTTCTCCCCAGAAAAAAATGATAAAGAATAAATAGGATATACAGGGGGTAAGAAAAAGAAGAATCACAGATGGTTAGGAGGAAGGAGCTATAGGTTCATATATCTAAAAGTTTTTTTATTGCATTACGCAATGCAATGACAGAATATACCAGTTTTTTTTTTTTTTTTTTTTTTCCCTCTTTGTGATGTTGTTCCTTTCCAAGAGGGGTTTTTGCTGAATAAGCGCAAAAACCATACAAACGGCTGTTGAGGGAGAAATGGCCACAAAAATGACAAATGTGAGGTACAATGGATATATTCTCTTTTTTTTTGTAAGGTACATTAGAAACCCAAGTCAAATATTTAGAAACAAAAAATTCCCTTAAATTACGCAATTCATGGATACAATTTCATATCAATCACAACAATATTATTTGCATTGTAAACAATACATGCATTACAATCACCCACAGGCCACAACTAATTTGTGAATGAGACGAGGCGATACATTTACCTAGTCTATACCTTTAATACCTTTCTATTTTAATTTGAGGTTACTAGCTCATACTTTGGAAATAAATTTATTATAGTTGACCTCAAGGTAACAATACTTTTCTCAGCTTTAATGCATCGATTTCTTAAAGATAGCAGTCAAAATGATGATGAGCTTCACCAAAAATACAGAATAGCAAACCCTATTGCGATAACTTGAATGATATCACATAGCAATGGTATGTTAATCCATCAGCTCGCTGCTGTTGGCTATTGAAAAGAACTAGGAGAAGCAATATTCTAACAAGGATTTAGCTGGAGCACAAGTACACACCATTATGAATATATAATACATTTGAAATACAACCAGTGGCGGAGCTAAGGTTAGGAGTTTGGGGGTTCACATGTTAATGTACATATATTTATTTAATTTTCTAATACAAATATAGGGTCTACGAAAAAGCTAGTGGGTTCGTCCGAACCCATGAACCCCCACCTAGCTCTGCCTCTGGATACAACTAAGTGCTGGCTCTCCTACTGGATATATCGTACATGCTAAATCTTTGAGATCCTTCTCCACCTGCGACAAGAAAGTAAATCTACGGCCCAACCAATCCTAACTTCAACAGATCTATCTCCATCTTACTTAGAGGGAGCTGCAGAAGGAAGATTGATCAATTTGATCTTCAGTTCTATATCCCCAGAATCCACATCACAAAGCCTCAACCAGACATCTTGCACAACCTCACCATTCACCCAATTAATACTGCTATCCGCTGCTAGACAGTTATCACTCTCTGGGATAACCTTCCTCAGTGTTGTTCCTTCAGCGGTAACCCCAAGAATCTTTCTCAATCTAGCAGAAGCAACTAAAGGCTGAAGGCTGAGATGAGCATTTCCCATTTTGTCATCGGCCTTGAAGTGGTCTTTGTCAAACACTTGCTGTCACAATTGAAATTTCATAAGCTGAAACGAACTTAAGATATAAATTTTTGAAATGGCTACTCAGGAATTGAAATGATCACATTTCAGGTAGTAAATATACAACACTGAAGACAAGGCGTTAGAAAAGCCTAGTGAAAATGCTTTTTTTTCTTTCTTTTTTCTTTTTGGCATAGAACAGTACTTCTCTTACATCTAAGTTTATCTTCAACATACATGTAAATATCATCACGGAAGCATAGAAATGAAAAACTGTGTGTGCACGCACATGCCCGCTCACTACAAAGAAGGATCAAAGAATAGTGGAGCAACTGAAGCTCAGTCATAGCAAGTTTCAAAGAATCCTCTAAATATATAGTGGATAACCGAAAGACCTGTTTGACCAACTTATCTGATCAAACATTAAAACAAAATTATGTTGAAGAATGAAAAAGTACTACATCGGTGGTTAATGAGATGGGTTATCTCCTTATTTAACTAAACCTATGATTTTTTTCCTTTGATAAGAGTGACAAGATCAGCTTAGAACTCTAACTCCCAATCTTTGGACAATAAGATAAAAGGGACAGTCTGATATTTTCTTCTCCCCATATCCTGTAAAGCCCCCTCTCCTGCTGTTTGATTGTTTTCCTTTTTGTTTCGTCTGCTTAGTTTCATCATATTATCTGCACTATCACACCACTTGGAAGTGGAAAAATTACATAAAAAATGGGCAAGGTAATTTTTACCTATTCCAAAGTGATTTGCATTATCACTTATTTTTCACCATTCAGGAATTTGCCTTTATATTTTCTTTCAAACAGTTCAATATGCTCATGGACTAACATGGAGGAACTCCCAAACCAACTGATGGTGACCACCTCTCAAAAAAAAAGACGGATAGCTCTGTTAGCTAGGCGACCTGCCTGATCAGGGTTTCTAGCCGAACTAGTGCCTTAAGCAGGAAGGCAAATAAAATTTACTAATGTCCTAAAAAGGTCCTTTGTTGCTTTTAATATTTGTGCATTCAAATGCATGATTAACTCCTATTAAACTACTTCAAAGCATTATATTTTCTTGATATCTCGATATTGTGGTGTAACTCTTGAGCACAGACAATCCCAAGACAAATTCCTATAAAGAATACTATATATGTCTGCTTAAATCAGATATACACTTTGATCAACATCCACAAATTCCATGCTATGTATTTTCTTCAAAATAGAGTTTTTGTCCACAGAGCTACTAGCATATAACACCTCAACAGCAAAATGAAAGCTTAAATATCACTTCTCTCAACATGAAAGCTATCATATGCCTTGATACTACACAAAAAAGTACCTTCATTTGAAAGTAGAAGCTGCTAGGTCATGATATTAAACTCTCAAGAGGCAGTGTGTACATTGGAGAAAGACTACACAGCCGCCAACTTACTGTATTAAAATCTTGTCCAAATTGCAAAATATGGACCTTTGAGTAGTGCTGTTTCCATGTAAGACCTTTCTGTTAGTCTTCCCAACTACTCACTTCAATTTAGGTTTTCCTCTTTCGATTATTTCATTTCATGTTAGCTTCTTTCTCCATGTCTCTGGGGTTCTGCCGGTCAGGTGTATAAAGTTAAGCTTGTGGCCTCTCATGCATCAACAATTATCGGACCATCGTCCTTGGTCTTTTAGTTCATAATTAATAATTTATGGTTGTTTCCCCAAGTGAAACATATAGGATCCAATGGTACTTCTTCTTAAAAACTATTTTTCGGTTCTTAATGAATGCTATGTACCCATTCATGATATAACACTCAGCCATTTTTCCTTAAGTGGCCCTTCTCCAATTTTCATCTCTGCTAGATTCCTATATTTCCGTTTATACTATTCTGTTACTCAGATATACAAACATCGCAATTATGTACGTAGAATTCACTAACACCTTTATCCAACCTTAAAAGCTGTAACATTTACACATGATGGATAAGTGAATTTTCATTCTTTAAGAAATAATCCAAGATTAGTGAAGTAAATGAATTTGAGAGACTTACCAATTTGAGAACCTGAGCATGTTCTGAAATGGAAAAATGAAATTCTTCATTCCAAACAGGATTAAGGCAGCTATTTATGACCTTGGTTTTTGCAGTCTGGTACAACAAATATAGAGATTGTTCAAGCTAAAAATTGAATCTTTTTTGAAGAATTAGGTGTGTTTGTTACCTGATTACCCAGTTTGAGAATGACATAAGGATCACTACTCTTAAAGTCCCGAATGACCAAACGCCTGCCTTGTACAACCATCACTTTTACCTGTCCAAATTTGTCTCCCATATTGACTGAATTTGGCATATACATGAAAACAAATAAAAATACTAGTCCATTAAAGCAGAAAACGGGACAACAAAATGACCCAACTGAGAAGAAGAAGAACACACACATATATATAATATCAGAAACTCACAGCCAGCAAATGTTGACTCTGCTTCTCTTTCTCTTGACCCAGTAAGCAAGGGGAAGGAGAAATGGACTAAACTTTATTTGAGAGTTTGGCAAAATTTACTCTATATGAAAATGATATCCACAATCTTTACTATTGGATTTTTTGTTACAAACCATTATTCTATTCACGCGCTTTCCTACTTATGTCATTTTTTATAATTAATTAATACTTTTGATATTCTTTTCTTTTAAATCAATATGTATTTTAAAATTATAAATGAGTTTCACTTTGCTTTTAACTTTATTTTATACATCAGATTTGGTAAGTAAAGAAAATGAGGGGTAATTACGTAGAGAATAGTTATCACTGAACTTGGACGAAGCATACATCAATGATCAATGTAAATACCTTTTTAAGCCATAGATACAATACTTTATGAATAAAATAACTATGTCCATAATAATAAATGATAGTAATAGTTATAATTCATTAAGAAAAATACACAATTTCTATTTTCTTTCAAGTCCCAATTCGTAATTAGTTTTGTACGGTTAGAATTCATGCTCATGTTTATATATAAGGTTTAGAAGCAACAACTTCAAATCATGAGTCAACTTTTAGTGATAATGCTTATAAACGAACTTACTTCTATACTAGATGAACACTGCTTAGTTCTCATTCAGCTTTTCATGCCTATTAAGGATCAGGTGTTGTCTAGTTTTTGCATAAACATCACTTTTTGACAATTTTATAAAATCCACCAAAGTGATAATCGAAGCAAAAGTAAAATGATTTTTATGTGAAAAGAAGTGATTTTTGTGTAATGAACATAACCGAATGATCACCAACTATTTATCAAAACACACATCAACTATCAAATATTCTCTTTTCCCTACTTGAATGATGGTGATATTTCTTTCAGGTAGAAAAAGGGAACACGACTCATAATTGATGCGCGTTTTAATAAATAGTTTCAAATAGAAAAAGTGAATATCTAATAGTTCAGGTAGAAAACACCTCATTCACAAATATTGAGAATTAGAAGCAAAAAAGAAGTGAAAAGCGTGCTAATGTTACTGATTCCATGCACCACAAATGCTTACAAATCTACAGTTTACAAGAATCCACGGATCTTATAAAGGAGGGAGGAACTACAACAGACGCATTTCTGTAACTACTCTAAACAACAAAATATACAAAATGAAGACACAAGACTACAACAATAACCGAGCTGCAACACAGGATCGGTTAGTTGGGTAAGTTAATGCCAACTTACTACACTAGAGCTGTACAATGCCTAAGAGAACTGCTATTGACTCATATCAGTTACCTCTAGACCGCAGCTACACAAACTGTGGGAATGCACATTCTTGTCCTTGCTCCCTACCTTTTAATAAACCTGTGCCCTACCATTTTCTATGTGGTAAACTGTACTTCATAAACTTATTAATGTCACTGTTAATGGTATCATCTTCTTAGGATGACGGTATTCGGCTTGATCCTACATGCTCTCCAGGATGCTGCATCTCTAAAAATCATTAGTCATGATCATATGATGGCCTTTCTGCTGGTTTACTTCCCTCCAGCCGACTTCCCTGCTCGTTGTTTCCACGTGCTCTGCGTATGGCAATAACTTATTACTAAATTATCATTCATCAAGAAATATATGTCCCAATAAATAGTGCACAAGAATAGGCATTACAAGTAGCTCATCGTCGGATAATTCTTCATCAGATTTAGCAGCCGAGCTACTTTCAGAGTCGCCTTGATCAGTTGAATGACTGTCAGCATCATCTCTTACACTCCCATGAGAATCTGATCTTTCAGCAACATCATTCGACTTCTCTGTAGATCCATCTGCATGTGGATTCTCATGTGAAGAAGAGATCTCCCTGTCTGATCCACGAGAATCCTGAGGGGTGCCAGGTTCATCCTCATCTTTATTTTCCATGGGACATTCTTCTTCTTCAGACTCCTCCATATCACTCAACCTATCAGCATCAGCCCCTGGTTTCCCATCAGAGTATGATATGTCATCCTTGTCAGACAGTTCATGTTCAGACAAACTGAACCCATGCGTGCTTTCTTTCTGTTCACTTTCTGATTCACCTAGTAAAGCCAAATGTCAGATTAGAAAGCTAGGGGAGATCATGAATAGCATAACGGGGAGACTGTCAAAATTATTCTACCTTAAGAAACTAATGCCAACACCTAAGACATAATGGAAGTTCTCCTATTACTTGAGAATATTCCAATTTTGATTTTGTAACAAGAGTTAAGATAACTGAAAATGGATCATTTAGCAAGAACACAACAGGGAAGGAATCCAGTGGAATGGGACAACAAAGTTTAGGAACATCAAGTAAATTAACACATGAGATCCTAGTGACAACCTCGTAGGAGCAGGAACAGATGCCAGTGTAGATTTAATGAGTGCGATGGTTTATCCTTGATCCATTCAAACTCGTAGATTACAAATTTACAACAATAAAGCTATTTCTGAGTATCATGAGAAACTAAAAGACAGTGATTAGAAGAAAATCTCTTTTCATACTCTAGATTGAAAATAAGAGAATAAGTTTTTTATTTCACTGCTACTACTGAATAATCGTGGCAAGAGAACAAATTGTTGCCTGATCTCTAAAAAATGTCTCCTTTTAGGCCACATTTAATTTTTGTCCCTATTTATAAAATTGAGCAAATATAGCCTTCGGAAAATCTCTCCGGAGAAGGTTAGACTCGGGTCTATTATTTCCTCATATAAAACTTACCAACAAAACATTAGATTGTCATCTAACAATTTCAATAACTTGAAAAATTTTAACCAATCATCCAACGTTTTCTCAAAAGAAGGCTACAATTTACTAAACAGTTGTCCCAAAAGGGAAATAAGCGAAAAACTACGACCACATAGATACTTCTAAGTTGTAATTTTGTCCAATATGGATCTCTTCTATTTCCAAGATTCTTTTTTTTTTTAAATGATGGGGTTTTTTTTTAAAAGAAAAATTACAGCCCAATACCATTGGGCCATCTAGCTTACAAAATACCTACACAGTGTGTAGGTAGTTTGTACTTTATATTAAAACTACATAGCTATACATAAATATACATACCTATACACAATATATACAACCGAGACTCCGACAGTGTATGCAGTGCATATTTCAGCCATGTTGGGTAAACTAGATAGCCAAAGCCTACATCTACGCAAGTATCCCTTGTTTAAAGGCATTTCAAGGAGGCTTTGGATTCCTCAAACTTCCAATCCCGAAGGTTGCTTCTGGAAGGGGAAGTGCCAAAAAGATGTTCCCCTCTTATAATATCCAAAGATGTTGGACAGTAATCTCATTTTGGCATGAACCTTCATAGATGTTTGATAAAGTGGATCTCAAATGTTGTCTCTACACCAGTCATGCCCCTCAAAACTAACCTTACTCCCATCCCCTATCTTGAAAGATGTATTGCCACTTAAAGTATCCCACTCGTTCAAAATGTTTATCCAAAGACCACAACGAAAAGAAATTTTCCACTTTCTACAGTCAATTTACAAGAGCTAAAAAAAAGGTAATAACTTTGGCTTAAAAATTAACTTGGAGAAGTACTCTAAATTTCAAGGAACTTCAAGATCCAAATGAGGTTATTGTTCTTTCTTTAAAGAAAGAGATGGCATTGCTGCATTTTAAATCATCAAATGCCTCACTCAACTCCCCAATCAACATTCCATCACTCTGATAGTTCCTCATTCTTTTTTACTTTTCACCTCAGGATATATCCAATTGTCCCCTCCATCAGAAAATAACTTTGCAACCCGAACTCTTGCCTCCTTTCCCCACCCTCATCAGCCCACCTGATAGACTCCACCCTCTTAAACGCCTAAGCATACCCTCCCCTCCATGTGCATAAATGACTTCCAGACTCTCTATCCTTTCATTTGTTGACCTTTGCATAACAGAACATACCAAGCAACAAATGATACAATTAACTAGAATGCCAACAAGAATAATAAATCAAGAAATCGAAAGAAAAAGAGAATCAAAAGAACCTCACCTGAGCTTAAATTATCTGCCTTGGACTTTGAGGTTGTCAACGGCTTGCCTAAAAGCAGGCTTCTTCTGCTCAAAGAATATTTTGATGGACCTTTTTGTCCATACTTTAAGTTCTTCCTTGGAGTTCTCTTCCCTCGTACTGGCGATAATGGAGACCTGTCAGCAAAACAGCACGCATAAGGCAAATAGGAAATACACAAACAAATTATGTGCAATCAAGTTAAAGAATCAAGCTCACATCTTATCTGTCTCCTTCTTTTGCCTGGAGGCAGCAAGAGTCCTATTTTTCCTCTCTCCAGATCTGCAGTCATTAAATGAAGACGGGGAGGTTAAAGCAACTCATAATTCGTCTATAATGCTAATACACAAGGCGCCGGAAGACATAAAACAAAACTACAAGGGACATATAAATGAAGATATTTACTCATTCCCACAGCTTATTTGCATAATGCATAAAACCTTCTTTTTTTTTTGTTGAGAAAGGTAACATCATAATGCATGAAACTTAAAAGGAGCCATATTATGCTAAGTTAACAGTTCTTTTGTGAAAGGCGTTAAAAAATCAAGATTAGAAAAGAATTAAGCTAGTCGTCAACACTTAATAATAGTCTGGAACAACAAAGGCAGAAATAATCATTATATACCAACCCATTACCCATCTACATCAATGGGGAGAAGAACTATGCAACCTGAGGTATGATATCCAGAGAACTCAACAAGAGAAGTACCATCAACACAATTCAAACGCTCAAGAATACAATTCCTCAATTTTAAGTACCATATAAAACAGAATCCCCAGAACTTATCAGAAGAAGAAAAGGAATTGCGATAATCACAAAAATAATTTAAAAAACCCCCGTAACTACTAAAGCAGATGAATCGCTTACTCTTTCTTGTAGCCTGAACCCTTTTTGG